ACTTGGTTTCATACACTGACGGTATGGTTTTTTTAATACATGTATATTGTAACTGTAGATTAATATAATGGATTCCGGTTAAATAAGAAGGTGTTTTCAATTCATATATAGTCGAAGTGAACTTATATATTATCCAAATGGTTACATAAATTGAAAAAGAACAATATCAGACAGCCATGGCTTTCCATATATTTTGACATCTCGTTTATATTTATCATATTGTTTTTTTTTTATCTGCAAATAAACTACATATGCCTTCTTAAAGCATGTAAACGGTCGTTTCAATATGTTGATACATAGCTTAAAATGTTTGTATATTTGATCTTTTTAAGACATAATTGGTGAGGATTTGTAGGAACAGTATACTATTATTGTTTTTAGTATATAGTATAGCATTTTCTACAAACAAAAGAGAAATAAATATTTTTTATATTTTATATTATATTCATGCACTCAAAAATAGGGACGTCCTTGACCGAGTGGTTAAGGTCGTTGACTTCAAACCACTTGCCCCTCACCGCTGTGGGTTCGAATCCCGACAGGAACTTTGGATTCTTTCATGTGAGGAGGCTATCCAGCTAGCTTACGGAACGTCGTCGGTTCTACTCAGGTGCCCGTTCGTGCCTGAAATAATGCACGGAAGGGCACATGAGGTCTTCCTCCACCAGTAAAGCTGGAACGTCGCGATATGACCTATACTGTGTCGATGTGACGTAAAAACCAAAAACAAAACAAAAAAACTCAAAAATCACATTGTTATCTTACCTCACCTTGTTAAGAAAAGCTTAAACTATACATATGTGTACTTAAACCCAAGTGAGCTTATAATTTATTTATATAGGTCAACACATTTACTGTCTGTAGTTAAATTGATTTTCTTTTATTTTCGAAATAACTGAATGAAAGATTGTTTTAACATTTCATTACGAGAAATTATACACATGCACAAAATCAACGCTAAGCGGATAAAAAACTCTATATTTACACATTTGTTTTGTGTTCCATATAACAGAACGGATTAATATAAATGGAAGGAGTTAATGTAATACCCCTGTATGACCTGTTGATTTACCCAATATAGCTTGTAAAATTGCTTGATAAGCTTTCTCAACTGATATAATTTCTTCACCAACATCCAACCCATGGAGATTTGAATCGGTCAATCGCATAGGTGTCGTCATATTCATCATGTGTGTTCAAAGGGCCATGAAAGTCATGTACCCATTTATCTAATACTTGATTAGCATTTTTGTAAATGAAATCATCAGGCCTGACAACTTCAAAAAGTATCACGTTCATTCTTTCATTTCCATTTTTTCTGTCCAAAAATCATTCGGGTTTTAATCAATAAGATCATCAAAATTCTTTTTTAATTACGGGCCTGAATAACATAGCTTCTCTTAGTCCTTTCGTATATAAAGCTATATATCTGCTGTACAAAAAAAAACTTTCGTTTGAAATTTCAAAAAACAGAATGCTCCCATAATACTTGTTTAAAACAAATATGGTAGTAAGTTGCTTGAAAAATGAATGGTGCACACACGAAATTATTGCTTAACGGTTAAACTTCTACTTTATACAGCTGACAAATATTTTGTTTCGAAACTATAAATGAGCCGCACCATGACAAAACCAACATAATGCGTTTGCGACCAGGATGGATCCAGCATCCGCGCAGTCTGATCAGGATCCATGCTGTTCGCTATCAGTTTCTCTACTTGTTATAGGGTTTTAAGCGAACAGCATGGATGCTGATCAGACTGCGCGGATGCCAAATGTTTCAACTTTTAAAACAAGCTTTATCGTCTTTTTGCGTTTCTGTTTATAACATTATCTTTTTACACGTAAAACCAGCAATAACAATTCGCAGTCATTTTTTTATCATTTTGTTTTACATTAGGTTCTTTTAAGACTGTATAGAACGTGCTCACCGAACAAAAAAAAACTCAAAGCAAAGTTTAATGAGTTAAAAACTGCGTCCGTTGACGAAGAAGCAGATGGGCGCGTTGAACAGATACTTGAAGAGTGGGAAGGGATGGACAATTGTGTTCAAAGTACATTAATGATACTTCAGAACAATCTGCGTAAAATTAATGGTAATTATTATTCTTATTTACATTTTTCAGAGCAACTAAGTCATGCTTTCTTGGCGTTTATTATTTTGCAATAATATAATTACTATGCAAACTCAACTCAAACCATTTATTGAAAGATATATGCTTAAAAAATTGTAAGAATAGTGAACCTGATCCCTCGGTACAAAGTACATGCAAAACAATATTAAAAACACCCTAGGCTATATTTCTTTTTTTAATGCCCCGAGCAATTACTTCATTTGAACACTGATTCTATAGGTTATTTTCCAGATTTTTACTGTGAAAAAGTATTATTACCTTTGTAACAGTACAGAACGTTTATTTATGGTACAGTTAAATGAACAATTAGAATAATTCCAATTGGCCAATGGGAAATTTACATTACAAATATACAGATTTTGTAAGTCTTGCATTACGAGACATTTAAACATAAATTGTAATTCGTCATCGATTTCAGATCTATTTCATACTTTACACAGTCTTGTTCTCTACCTTGTCTGTCTTATTATACCCCCGCACAACAAAGTTGTAAGGGGGGTGTACTGGAATCAGCTTGTCCGTCCGGCTGTCCGGCCGTCCGGCCGTCCGTCGGTTTTTTCTTGTCCGCCCAATAACTTAAGATTCCTTTGACCCTTAGTCTTCAAATTTGGCATGGAGGTTAGTCATGATTAGTAGATTATCCCTATTGATTTTGAGGTCACTAGGTCAAAGGTCTAGGTCACAGGGGCCTTGACTTCAAAAAGCTTGTCCGCCCAATAACTTAAGATTCCTTTGACCCTTAGTCTTCATATTTGGCATGGAGGTTAGTCATGATTAGTAGATGACCCCTATTGATTTTGAGGTCACCAGGTCAAAGGTCAAGGTCACAGGGGCCTTGTTTTCAAAAAGCTTGTCCGCCCAATAACTTAAGATTCCTTTGACCTACAGTCTTCATATTTGGCATGGATGTAAGTCATGATTAGTAGATGACTCTTATTGATTTTGAGGTCACCAGGTCAAAGGTCAAGGTCACAGGGGCCTTGACTTCAAAAAGCTTGTCCGCCAAATAACTTAAGATTCCTTTGACCCACAGTCTTCATTTTTGGCATTGAGGTTTGTTATGATTGGTAGATGACCCCTATTGATTTTGTAGGTCAAAGGTCAAGGTCAGAAGGACCTTGTCTTCCCAATAACTTAAAACTCCTTTGACTCACAGTCTTCATATTTGGCACGGAGGTTTGTCATGATTTGTAGATGACCCCTATTGATTTTGAGGTCACCAGGTCAAAGGTCAAGGTCACAGGGGCCTTGACTTCAAAAAGCTTGTCCGCCCGATAACTTAAAATTCCTTTGACCCACAGTCTTCATATTTGGCATGGAGGTTAGTCATGATAAGTAGATGACCCCTATTGATTTTGAGGTCACCAGGTCAAAGGTCAAGGTCACAGGGGTCTTGACTTCAAAAAGCTTGTCTGCCCAATAACTTAAGATTCCTTTGACTCACAGTCTTCATATTTAGAATGGAGGTTAGTCATGATTAGTAGATGACCCTTATTGATTTTTAGGTCACCAGGTCAAAGGTCAAGGTCACAGGGACTTTGACTTCAAAAAGTTTGTCTGCCCAATAACTTTAGATTCCTTTGACCCACAGTCTTCATATTTGGCATGGATGTTGATCATGACTATAAGGTGATCCCTATTGATTTTGAGGTCACTGGGTCAAAGGTCAAGGTCACAGGGACCGTGACAAAAAAAGCTTTTATTCTCAATTGCTAAAGAATGTCCTGTCCGCAATGTATTGATTTTGACATTTTCACATTTGAAGCATGTAGAATACACAACTTAGCAATGCACTGGCTTAGTTACCTCAGATTTGGCAGGGAGGTTGTCCTTGAGCTCTAAATGGCCGCTGTTGATTCTGACAAAGTGGTATGCGGGGGTATTCACGCCATGATAGTGGCAGTTCTAGTTATATTTGCAAAGCAAGAGTGCCAGAATAAAGCTATAGATAAAAATGTATTTATTTACGTACAAATGAAATATCTAAGTAATAATCATGTTTATTACCTATTGTTATAGCTTTCTACAATGATAATAGTGTTGATACGCTTACAATGCTTAACCAATATTCTTCAAATATTTGACCTTACTTTATCACTAAACTCTTAAATAAACAATGTGTTTCCAAATTTGAGCATAATGTCAAGCAAAGCTAACCATGAATATTTTACACATTTTTATTTCTTTTGGCTAATTAAACTGAAGAATGAATGAAAAATGTTAATACCCAAGAAAACTCCAAACATTTCCTGACATACCTTGTGTCAAGCATATTGAATATTTTCAACCAATTCTTAGACAACAAACATATTAATACACGTAGAGAGAGAATAACTCCCACTTTTCTGAAAACAAACGTACTTTTTATAAGCAAAAGTTTAGTAATGTTAGATTTACAAGAATAAGTTTTAACTTTCGCATACATTATTACAGTACGTTTCACCGAGGACTTGCCATAATTTACTGCGATTTACACAATCAATTCTTAAAACCGATAAAACCTGCAAAAAGCTGACTATGCTTTTTAAAATTATTGTTATAAATACAAATGAATTGTCAATATTATGATAACTAAGCGAAAACCAGATTGGCACTCGTCTTTTTTACAGCAGCTATATACAATGTATAATGAATGATTTCGTACTAAAATGCATAACAGGTAGATTGTAGAGATATGATTATGAATTTAAAGAATGTTGACCATTACCTCATTGTCATCAAGAACGAGTATGAACATGTCAATGATACTGACAAGGAGACTTCTAACAAAAATGAAAACTATTACTAATTTAGATGGAAACACTTTAACTTTCCGGACCTTTTGATTGATGCATTGTTCAAAATGTCATTGTTTCTGTTGCTTTTTGGATGATGTTCAAAAATTGAAAAATAAAGACTCAACTAGATTAGCAAGTCTTAAAGGTAATTCATGCATATTCAAAAGACAAAAAAAAAGCAATTCTGATTTATATTCGATTTTTTTAGTAATCATTGATTCGAGACGTATGCCTGTTCGAGTTTACATTGGTAAAATGTTAAATTTTCTTAATAGCTACTGGTAACTTAATAAATATCATATATGGAAGTATAGATCAACAAAGGAGAACAACAATTCAAATTTGCAGTTTTCATTCGTATATTGATATAGAGCATTAAGAGAAAGTGAAATGTCCAAGAACCGTAATCTTGCATTGCTTAAGTTTTTAATTATACCACTTTATGATATTTGGAAATGTTACATTATGCTTGTCCTGAATGTAACTTCTAAAACTGCTTCTTTGGGCTTAATATTTATGACAATAAACCATAATAAATTGACTTATTGGATCTTTAAAAGAGTAAACAGTGATAGAGATAAGAAGGAAGAAGACCAACGTGCAATTCCATAATTCTACCTTACTTTATTTTTAAATTATTTTCCTTTGTGATCCTAAAAAATGTTGTATAATGCTTGTCCAGTGTATAACCTCTCAACTAACTATTACATATCATAAACTTCATATGGTTATGAAAATAAGTAGGAGAAAGTGCAATGTCATAGAACAATAACTTAACGTATTTATCTCACTGTATGATATACATGTATAATAAATTGTAATGTTTATTTGTTGAGAAGCCTTTGGAATATTTTTAGAAACATATCACACAGTGACAGATATCTAAAAGAGAGGAAGTGCATTGTCTCTGAAATTTAATTCTACCTTTCTTGATTTTCAAATTGTCTCCCTTAATAATATTTATCGATGCGTTGTTACACATTCACTTATAACGCATGGACTGATGTCTTTTATATCTGGTAGGATCAAGCCTTTGGTGGTTTTCTAACTGAAGGGTCACTTGAGTCAAGGCCACTGGTGCTTAAAATATATTTTATATTATATCACTTTTGCTAATACAGCTTTTGTGTATTGACTGTTTCGTATACAAGTATATATATCGTCGGTGGTGCAATAACTTTGAATGGAGTTAGGGGGCACTAAGACTAAGGAGATCGCTGCTAAAAAAAGCTATTTATTCCTTTGCTTATAAAGCCTTTATTCATTGGATGTCTTTATTTGGTTGATAAAACTATTTGGTGGTCCTTTGAATTCGGATGGAGAAAGTGCTCACTTGGGTCAAGGTCAATATTACAAGAAACATTTTCACATTTGCTTATGCAATCTGTACTTACTGACTGATGTCTCTCAAATTTGGTAAGCAGATACATTTGGGTGTCTCGTCTCCTAAATTTGGTTTACTAGGTCAGGTCAAGGTCACTGGTGCTTCAAATAGATGTTTACACATTTGCTATTCCTGCCTATATGTATTGACTGATGTGCATTGTAGTACATTGGCAGTACATAGTGTGCAGGTTCAATTAGACTAACTTATAGTATCAGTAAGGTAGTCATAGTCATAGTTATGCTTTCTACATTATGCTCTCTTCTTAATGTCTTTTGATCAATAACTTATTTTATGTATAATTGTAGATATTTCCGAGCGATACTTCAGAAGAATAAGTGAAACCAAAGACGTGTTTGTAAGAACAGCAACTTACAACAAAGCTGCAGAGAAATTGAATAAATCTGGCATCGTTATTTTAAGCGGGAATGCTGGAGAAGGAAAGACTACCCTTGCGGTACAACTTTTGCTTGAATCTTGCCCGCTGGAAAAAAATACTTAAACTTTCAATTCCTAAGGATATGGTCGAATTCAGTACCAAAGAATGGAATGGAATTTTCATTGACGATATCCTTGGAACAACTGTATTAGAACACGACAAAGCCACATATTGGAACGATTATTTACGTGACCTGCAACATGATGCACACAAAATGGGGTTGTACATTGTCATTACAACACGCCAGAATATTCTAAGCCAAGCAAATAATCGCCTCAACTTGGATCTTTTTAAAGAGGATAACATCATTAATGTGTCATCTTTAGGCCTTACAAAAGAAGAGAAAAGGATAATCATCAAGAATCATTTAACCAAAAATAGAAGAACATCATCACTGGCAAGTTTGAATGCCTGTGTTTCTAATTGGAAAGATACTGAGTGCAAAGTTGGATTCCCAGAATATGCAGTCATGTTTGCTTCAAATAATACACTGTTTGAAAAGGGACCTTCCTTTTTTACAACACCTTTCAAATTCTTTGAAATATTTTTGTCAGAACTTTCGAAAAACAAAGACGAGTTTATGATACTTGTGTTATTATGGACAAAACCTTCAAAAAGATTATCTAAATTTGACTTAGAACATGGAAATCTCGACTCACTAACAGATATAGCAAATGCGCTAGGCTATGATTTGAAAAAGAAATCAAAGACTTTGCGAAAGGTCCTTCAGCATCACAAAGATGGGATACTCTGTCAAACTGACAGAAAAGATGAATACTCATTCGGTCACGATATTATTGAAGATGTTGTCGGTCTTCTTTTGAGTAAAGATAATCCAGACCTGGCCATACAATACGGCACTAAAAGCTTCATTTTGAAATATGTCACGACAAATTACAGAGTCAAAGAATGTGTATTTGTAGACGAGAGAAGATTTTCTATTCTTGGTAAAAGGCTGAACGAGCTAATTTTCGCAGGTGACGACGTATGTCTGGGACAAGGTGACGCATATAACACATATAGAATATTCAGACAGGGAATTGAGAATATGTGCGGAGGGAAAACGTTTTCAGATATATCGATTTTAGATCACGAAGTTTTCAGGGATGAGGAGTTTATTAAGGAGTATGTTAGCCTTTTAAATGAAAACAACATAGTATCCACTCCAGTTTTAGAAGTTTTTGAACATTTTCGAAATCCTTACAACATAGTTTTTGGTAATGGTGAAATGGGGGTGTGTATACCTGGAGTTCTTCTTGCAATCGCCAATACAAAAATGGTCGAAGAATGCATTCAACGTAAAATCCTTCCAAACAGAGAAAAGTATCTAGCATTGCTAATTGCTACTCGTGACAAAAACGAAACGTTGATCCAAAAGCTCTTACATGCAGACGCAGAAGTAAATGAAGACACATTGCAAATCGCAGTTGTAAACGAAAGCATTGAAATACTGAAACGTCTTTTGCCCAAACTGAATTCAAGCTGTAGCTGTGGTCACATACAGAAAGGAAATTCCCCATTGATAACTGCGGCAAAGAGAGGCTCGTTTGAAATTGTTGAATGCTTGCTTAAAAATGGCGTTGACATAAATCATAGAAATAAACAAGGACAGTGTGCCCTCGATAAGGCTGTTCTATGTAATGAAGTTGACATATGTGAAGCTCTCATTCAAAAAGGATGTCAACTTGATGTTAAAGCGGGTAAATTTAATCGAACACCTCTTCATGCAGCTGTTGATATGGGCAATATCGAAATAGTTGAATTGCTGTTGAATAATGAAGCATCTCTTTATATTACGGACCACCGTGGAGACAGTCCTATACATACTGCAGCTGTTCGTGGTCATATGGAGATTTTTAGGCTTCTACTGAACAGGGACAAAAGTGTTGCTATGAACAGTTTCAAATATGGCAGACAGATCACAACACTCTATCATTACGCTGTGATCAAAGAAAACAGAGAGCTGTTGCAGATTCTTATAGAAAACGACATAGATCCGAATATGCAAGATCAGTTTGGCAGGACGCCTTTGTACTTTGCAGTATATCATAACAAACCAGAGTTTGTCGATCTACTGATTGAAAAAGCAGATGTGACATTGGCAGAGAATGGATATACACCTTTACATGCTGCAGTGTTCAAGCTTAACACAGATCTCGTCGAAAAATTATGCAAGTACTATACATATATCAGAATGGTCGACCGGAAAGGAAATTCGTTGCTTCATGTGCTAAAGAATGTCAGAAAAAAGAGAAATGACAACGATACTTGCGTTCGCGTTTCAGAATGCATCAAAATACTTCTTAGAAAAGACAAAGATTTCGAAACAATGCAAAATAAAAAAGGAGAAATAGTCAATTTATTATTTGACGGAGACCTTTACTTCGTTTCTTAAAATTCTATAACTTTACCTTTATCATAATGGAATTTTAGAAAGTGAATAGCATATGAAAACCTTATCAAAAAGGAGCTTTTCTTTCAACAATTCGATGAATTTCGTTCCTATTTCAGACCACGGTACAATATCTGGCCTTAAGTTGGTCTGGACAATACTTAGGAAAAGAAGCTTCTTGCTAAGATCCATCTCCATGTTCAAACCTGTTGTGCCATCTAGAATTGATGGTTGGGGTGACAGTTTTGGCAGTTTCTTCATTTTTTGTTGTCCACTTGTCTGACCTCCTATCGGTACTGCTAAAGTTACAAAAGAGGTTATGAAAGAAGTAGATGTTATAAATGATGATGGTAAAAGTTTTATCTGAGCATGTAACGGATATGACAACAATGGTAACTCAGAAACAATGTTTCAGACCTAGAAAAAGACAGCATGAGTCTAAAGTAAAGGTCCTTGTACAGGAGAACGACAAGTTAGGAAAACGGTCAAATAATCTAGGGCTAAACAAAGGTCGTTAGAAGAGACAAACAACGAATTGGAACAATATACACGCCGCAGTAGTGTACACATCTATGGGCTAGTTGATGAATATAATGAGAAAGGTATAGAAACTATCGCAAAGATTCTAGCTTTTCTCAAATATAAACTACAGAAGAACCCTTCAAATTCTGATATAGATGCTTGCCACAGACATTTTATTATTTTATGCAAATAGTTACAGGCCGGTTCTGCTTAGATTTGTCAGGCGAACCATGCAAATTGACATCATAAGAGCCCGACAAACCTTGAAAGACACTAGCAAGAGCATTCGTGAGAACCTCACTCATCTTTATGCAAAACTTCTCTCTGATGCATTTAATTACAAGGATAAATTTGAATCTGTATATAGGGAGTCATGAATGGAAAATTATCGCTTTGCCTTAAAATACGGGCTTTTTATAGTTCGTCAGCTTTCTATTGGCTGTGACGCGCTAAAGATTTTTATTTTAAAACTCGCGGGAACTTACTGACCAATCAAAGTCGATAGGTAACGAAACCTTCTTTCGCTTTTATCTGCTCACATGACCGCCAGCTAACATCTATTGAACTATAAATTCAATATATCACATATTTCGTGTAAAAAGCAAGGCCGCACCCATTACATATGGGTGATACCGTTGACTATTAGAAGTAAAACAAAATTGTCAATATTTTGTCAATATTTAAAAATAGTTTCAAAAAATATTTATTAAATCAACTTTAGTATGGTCCATGTCTATTATACAAACAAGATCCGATCGTAATATTTATACATGTATTTTTTGTTATCTTAATTCCTTACTTTAAAATGTTTTCTTCTAATGGGTGTCTGTCTTAGTCTTACCTTCGTTCGTTGCAGATTGAAATGATGCACAGAAGTAAGTGATTATGTTTAATTATAGTTATTAATGAAATGAATTGTAGGAATGTACAGTATGTGTGTGTTCAGATATATGTTAAAACTGCGATTACCATTTAATCATTTTTACATGTTATATTTTCGACCCTTGATATGTTTTTTGTTGTTTTTTCATTTAGAAAGCCCATTGTTAATAAGGTGTTACCAATCTGTATATGTCTAAATGTGTTACCTTCTGTAAATAAATTTGATATTATTATAATTATTATCATTATGATTATACTTTCCCATTGTAACATGGCTAGCGATTGCCTGAAAAAATGTGTAGGGAAAACCGTAAGATTCAATGGGATATGAGTTGATTGGATGAATATGGTTTTTTAAGTATAAAAACTAATTTAGAAACAAACACTATATTTGTTTCTTAAGAAAACCTAATATTTCATAAGTCTCTTTGATAATTTGTGACTCGGATATTTGCATTGATAAAAGTGTCAG